AAGGACAGCGAGTCTTAATAAACCATTCTCTGAAGCCAAGGTTTGGAAACCTGCATCCTCAATTTTCTTTCCTTCCAGTAGATCAGTAGAATCTAACACATCAGTAATACCACCTTGAGTGCCAGCACGCCTTTTTGACTTCATTTGTAACACGTAAGGGACGAGCCGACGCCCAGAGTAATTGCCCAAGAAAAAGATGGCCAGTCCAATGAGCATTACCTGCCAACAACAGTCAGAAAAGTGTCCATGAATCAATGAGTATTACCTGTCAGCAAAACAGTAGGAAAACTGCCATGCCATCCACATCGTCAATATATTTTTTCAAAGTGTAGCACCTGCTGTCGTGAGCATGCTTTTCCACGCAGATTGTCACCTCCATGTCTACACCAGTGCATGGTCTCTCAAGCTTTGCAGTCTCAAAGTAGATGCCGGGAACTTTGAAAGTGTCGTTGCGTAACAGCACCTTGTTCTCTTGGTGAAGGAACTCCCTCACAAACTCTGCTGGCAGCTTCCCATCTAGTTCCTGAGCTGCCCCAAAAGCAGCCAGCTTCTCAAACCCCAGACCGATCTTTGAGTGATCACCTTGTCCTTTGCTGATAAGCATGTCTTGACAGGAGTTCGAGTCAGTCATAAAATGGTGATAGAGCACTCTGAGTACAGCAGGTTCCTCAAGCCTTATCCAGCGTTGTTTGCGGCCCGAGAAGAAGTCATCAATGTTCTTGAGTTCCAATTGGCTTTCATTCGTCAACCAGGCTAAACCATATTCCACCAACTGAAGCGCTGGGTCCTTGATGTTGATGAAAGTTGAAGAAGATCCAAAAATTTCGTGGTAAAGTATCACCTTCAACTCTTGCATGGCAGCTAGATTGCAATTTCTCTCAAGAAAATGCCGCACATCAGTCCAAACGGTCCTGTCCATGTAGACCCCGCCTTTCGGTAACACTGACGCCTGCTCCGAGAGAATCCGTAGTGCAAATTCTGTCGAAGAACTCCACAAAAAAGCCTGTTGCCTCCTCCATGGGCCGCTTGCTTGCAACAAAGTACTCTATCGCAGTCACAAAAACCCTGTACCTCCCTCTGTGGAGCTTGTGGAGCCTTGGGAAATCAATGGAGTCTATACTAATTGTAAGTTGACGTTTGCGCTATGAGATCTGGGAGAAATGCATAATATAGCACCTCCTCTCTTACGTGGCTACCCCTTCGCTCCAGTTAACGATTAAATTTATTAGTAGATGTTGTTAACTGGTATGTTAACGACTATAATTTTGTGGAGGATGAGAGGGTTCTCCAGAACCTGGTGGCTGGCAGCTGGGTTCTAGAGAACCTGGCAATTGTCAGCCACGTTCTCACAGAGAACCTAACTTGATCCGACGGCTGCCAACGGTTGGATCAAATTAACGAGCGAGCCACAACCTGTTAAGGTATAAGAATCAGTGAATAGCTCGCCCTTTTCCACATTCTTTGCTTGCAAACTCTATAAAGTTCATAATATATACTCTGAATATTCTAGGAACTTAAGTTCTATAAATCTAAACCTATAATACTCTGAATATTCTAGAAACATTAAATGTTCTATAAGTTTAAACCTGAAACTACATGGTTTATCAAATTTTAAAATTTAGATAGCATGGGAAACACGCTGTAGATCACCAAGAGCGGAAACCATAAAGAAGCAATCATGGATTATGTGAAAGACTTGCTGCAACGTTTTCACAAAGTGAGATTTATTGATGTGGTCCCTAAAAAACTCTTCAAATCCTTCCCAAAACAGAAGATCAAGGACACAGGGCAGAACTGTGAGTGGCCCGAAGACGAGCAAAGCGCTTCACCCCCTTTTCCGTTTCTTCAAACCTTTCTTCACCTCTTCCACAGCATCCAGCAATTCCGTGTTGACGATCCCCCGAAGTTTCCGCCCAGCCCAAACACCCGACAGAGGTGAAACCTGAAGGACAAAATAAACATGTCAAAAATCAAATGAAATATGCCTTACCAGGAGGATTTCTTTGCGCCCCGTTCTCGCTCGCCCACTCCGCCTCACATCTCCGAAGGCCACCTTTCCTACCCTTGGATGTGGGTTCGGTGAAACAACCAGCCTAAGGTAGCCAGTCCAGCACCACTGTTTTAGTTTTCGAGAGGCTCCTCCTGAATGCAGCATCTTGTCAATCTTCATGATGTCGAGTGAGGAAAAAGCTTGAGTCACACCCAGCCCAGATCCGGTCCTGAACTGTAGAAACACAGGCATCATCTTGTGCGACTCTTTGCTTCTGAGAAGAAACATCCCATCTGGTCCAGCTTCTTGGAATGGTCGAAGCCATGCATAAGTAGCAAACGATGCACCAGCCTCAACAGCTTCAAGCCACAGGTTCAACTGTTCTTCAGTCCGAATCTCCTGAACCAGCACGCCCGAGTGCCCTCTTGGCTTTACAACTTCATACTCCTCCTTGTAGACCACATCTGTTTCCTGCAAACCCAAAACCTCAGCTGGTAGCTTGTTGTCAAATGCCTCCCCCACGATGCATGCAAACCGCTCAAAGGTAATGCCAGGGACTGATGCGTTTGCAGCTGTGCTGATGACTCGCTCCATTACTGTACCAGCAGGCATATGTTCCCAGAGTGCTTCTGCAATCATCGGCTCTTGAAGGATCACGTATCGCACGTTAGCCCGACCTGAAGAACCAGGTCCGGCTTCATCACCCCTCACCCCTCTTATGTGTGGAATAATCGGTGCAAAAGGTCCGGCACTGGCGTCACTCTGAAGCAGCGTTGCAAAGCCACAATCAACTAAGGTCATGACACTCCTCTTCCGCTGCACAATAACATGACCAAAACCTGGAAAAAACCAGCATGAGGAATATATCTGTGAAGAATCAGTGACACATACCTGTAAGATAATACGTGAACAGAATGTCCTCAATCATTTGTGCTGTCTCTGGATCATCGCACACCCGCTCCGCTTCATCCCTTAAAGACCGAGAAAGTCCAAGCTCCACCCCAGTCTTGTTGATCAACTCCAAGGAGAAAACTTGGAACCAATCCTCTGGCGGTTTGTCCTGCACAACGTACTTCTCAATCGCCGTGCTCAAAAGTCGCCTTCTTCCAGTGTACATGGAAGTAATCGCGGGCATGTCCAGCCTGCTGATATCTATAAACCGTTGGAGAAAGGCTGGAATGTTGGTGTCGTCAAAGCCAGGTAAGCTATAAATTTCGCTTACATCGGAAGGCAGTGTCAGCTTCACTGTCCCTGACTGAAGTCTTTTCCGAACCTCAAGCATACTCGTGCCGGTGCCCGCAACAAACAAGCAGCTCTTCAAGAAACCGTACGACTTCAGAGCCAGTAACATGGGGTTCAACAACGGCTCCCCTTTCGTAGGAGTGAGTTCAGACTTGAATCGACCTTTCATGCGATGAAGCAACATTTGAGCCTCATCAAGGACAACCACCCCCTCCTTCCAACCAATGTCATCTGCAAGATTCCTTATAACCTCCATCAGCTGATCCAAAGGCAGTTGCTGATCCACTGAAACACAATCGATCAAGGCTTCAACCGCAGCACGGAAGACATCATCAACTGCCGGGTATTCCAACTGGAAAAAAGCCCAATCACGAGGATGAAGCCCAGGTTTCAGCGCTTTCAGCAACTTCAAATATTTCAACCGGACAAGAATCAAAATCCCAACACCAAACCGCACCACTGCATGATTCGGATCAAGATCGTGTTCACCTGTGGGCAACCGAGTCTCCATCCATCTGGCAACCCTGTCTACATCATTCGATCCTCCTCCAAATCCAACCATCGGACGCTTACCCGTGAAAAACAAGGTGAATCTACTGCAGGCAAGTTCGATCAACATTCTCGTTTTTCCTGAACCGCTGGGAGCCAAGAGCACAGTGATCTGGCGCTCTGACAACCTCTGCGCAAACCGATTGTCGAGCTCCACAAGTCCATCTCCTACGCCTTCCCATAGAAGGCATGGCAGGTTACTAAGCGCGCACATGAGTGTCCGGGCCGAGGGAAATTTCGCCTTATAACCCGACTCGTGAGGAGCCAACCGAGAAATAAACTGTGATTTCGTGGAGATGGAAATATCACACGCCTCTAACATTGTTATGGTTGTTTTTGTTTCTGTTTCAGACAAGAAAAGGAGTGAGTAACATAGCCAACATGGTGTGACCACACTGGCCCAATCGACTGCAATAAGGTCCATTTAATCAATTCCAAAAGATCCAACAGCACGAGAGCCCAACAAGCAAACGGCCACGAACAAAAGCCTGACGCCATAGGCTGAAACAACCAGAGCACAGACGCCATAGCCAAAACATAACCCTAAGCCCTAAACCTCTAGCCACATGGAAACGACACAGCAAAACGCCCCAAATCGAGGGGGAAAGCTAAATACACAAAGAATGACTTACCGTTACTTCTGAGGAGGAGGAGTTTTTTCTCCCGCAGCTGTTCTTCCTCCTTCCGCAGCTGCTCTTTTTCATTCCGCCAATATTCCGCCAGAGATTGATTGCCACTCTGAAGGGCAGAGAGAAAAGATTCCCCAGCCGCTTGGATCTGCGACTCAAGAAGCGCGATTTCAGCCTTCACCTTAGCCAATTCCTCGTCCATTTTGCTAGCTGAAACCCTATCTTGAAACCCTCTTGTATGGACGGTTTAGGGTTTAGGGTTATATTAAACTATAATTAATTATAATAAGTCCTTGATTATAAACAAGAGAAGCAAGAGAAAACGAGGGGCATAGGAACAGAACGCAACAGTCATAGCCATACAAACAAACGCGAAGCAAGAGAAGCCATACCTGGCACTTTGAGGTGCGGCTCAAGCTTCTTAGCAGCAAAGACAGGCACCCTTAGCTGGATCACTTCGTTGTATGTGAGATCTTTCAACTCCCCCACAAACTCGTAGCCCTCTGATTCCAGACTTTGCACAGCTCGATCAATCACGGCCGGTTTCCCGACTATTTGAAATGACCGCACCGTAGCAGTAATACTTTCAATGGATTAGAAAACCTTTTATGATCTTTAAAGCATTAAATGCAGTAGCATGAACAAAACAAGATCTGCATCCAGCTTGTTAGCTTGTCAGCCACCCCCACCAGAGCCATAACTCTTTCCCAGGAAGATCATTTGCAATTGGTCATAGCCAGACAACACTCCAGCTCCAGCCACGGCTCTCAAGATGTTAGCGCCTGCACCCTTAAACAAGGACTTGACTCCTTCCTTGGCCATAATTTCCCTCAGTGCGTGCATTGAGCTCTTGTACTTGGCACCCTCGCCAGACCTCATCATCATACGCCGCCTCACCGTGTCAATCGGGTACGAGGCAAGGCCAGCAGCAATGGTGATGCTCCAGCCCAAGAAGAAACTCGCAGCAAAGTTGCCCTGTTGCACAAAGAACAAAGCACGATTGATTGCTGGAGCGAGCTAAAAAGTCACCTTGAGGTCTCCAACCAACAACACCGGCTTGAGGGAGTCGTACATTCCAAAATAGAGGCCCCGGTACACAACAATACCCACGCACGAAATGTTGAAGCCGCGGTAAAGGCCGGCAATGCCATCGCTGGCCAGGGTCTTCTTGTACACGTCCAGGAGGCCATTGAACTGGCGGCCACCGCCACCGCCACCGCCACCACCCTTCTTTGCAGCCTTGGCGTCGTTGGCCAGGCGGGTCCGGGCATAATCCAGCGAGTAGACAAAGAAGAGCGAGGAGGCACCGGCAAGGCCTCCCGACGCCAGGTTTCCAGCAAACCACACCCAGTAGCCGTCCCGGTCGGCCTTAAAGTTGAAGAGCCTCTTGAAGTGGTCCTTGAAGGCGAAGTTTAGCGCCTGCGTGTACACCCAGACAATGAGCAAATTGATAGGAGACCAAGATATCAGGAAGTAACCTGAGTAGGGAAGTAGCGGATAACATTGGCCAGGTTGCCTCTCCACAGCGACATAGCCCCTTCATCTCTCATGGTCCTACCAAAGCAGTCAAGAATGCCCTTGTAAGGCTCAGACAGCCGTCCCATGCGGATCATCTCGTCCTGGTTCTGGATCAGAAGCTTGACACGCTCGATGGGGGCTGCTGCAGTCTTGGAAACAGCTGCCGAGACCCCACCCATGAGGAAATCAACAACAAAGCCTGGCTTCTCTGCTGCTCCTGGAACAAAGACTGGCTGCTGCTGTGTTGGTGTTGAAGGTTGCAAGACAAGCTGCTGCTGGTAGCAGCAAGACGGGGCGCAGAGAAGTGGAAGTGGCCCCCGCTGCTGCTGCTGCTGCTGCTGCTGCTGCACGCCATGATACTTGTAGGGGGCCAGCTTGGAACCCAGATAACTAGTCCCAAACATCCTGCGGAGGAACGCACGGAGCAACAACGAAGCAAATATTCACACTCGCTACATTTCCTCCCAACCTGAAAAGCTGACAGTTAGGGCAAAACTAGCAAGGTAACGTTACGTTCAGCTGTCGACGATGCTTGCCGGATACTCTGACCCTCTCACGTGCATGGAGTAGCAAGCTACAAAGCAACACGTGAGCGACAGCACCAACCTATCCCTTGCAAAGCTTACTTGTCTCGATCTTGACGAGGCTCTGGAGCATCACCTCCACCTTCTTGGTCATGTCTCTCCCGCCGTCGACGTTGTAAAACAAGAGGCAGAAGCCTTCGTACAGTGCCTGCACAAAGCCACGGATCCTCGCCGACGCCTCCAGGCCCTGCCCGCTGGCTGCGCTGCTCACGGCCAGGCGCATCAGCTCGCCAGACAAGTCCGCAATCTATAAGCACGCATGTAAACGATGAGTTACAGTCGACCCGAGCTTACCCCGAGCAAGTAGTCGTCAATATCGACCGAGAAGGACACACCGGATGCATCCTTGACGCCACAAAGGCTGCTGTTGAGCTGTTGCAGCGTCAAGAGCTTCCCAGTCTTGCAAAACTCCACCACCGTCGCAGCTTCCACAAACTCCTGCATCTGGATGGAACAAGGAGTTTGTGATCAATCAATCGTAACACGAGCACACACAGCAGCGAGTACGTACCCCTGGAGAGAATGCTCTCTTGAGCTTCCAGTAGTCAACGCCCTCAACCTCTCTTGCTACGCGGGAGACATGAGCGTCGCGCACCGCTGCCAGATCCTTCTCGGCTTGCTCCACTATCTTATCGCGGTTGGAATCGTTGAGCCTGGGTGGTGTGCGTTTTGGCAAAAGAAAGAAAAGAAGCGCCCAAGGGGCTCTACCTGTGGATCACGAAGATGACCTTCTTACTATGGATGGTAACATCCCGGCTAGCCTTGACGAGCCTCTCCCGTCTCTCGTTCTGTGGAAGCACAAAGGTTAGCACAATGGTATTGGCCGAAGAAAAGAAACCACTTCTTCCACTTACAGTAGCGTCCAGTTGGAGAGCGTATTGCTGGAAACGCGAGTGGAATGCGTTGGTTGCTGTGGAAGTGGACATGGCGCGCTTGGTCGCAGCAAAGAGTGGAGCTCGAAGCATGCCCTACATGACTCGATCCTTGGACCTGGTCGTAAATTTGTTTTCCATTCATTGGGGCATATAAAAACTAGGAGAGCTACATTCATTCATCCTGATTCCTGTTAGAGCGCTGGGTAAGTGCAAGACCCATAGCCTGGAAGAATCAAGTAGAGTATGTGAGAAAAGAATGGTTGTTCGCTAGGAACAAGTAGCACGTACTTGGATCGGTGACGACGAGCAGGGCCGCGTTTTGGAAGTAGCAGTTCCAGTAGTTGCGGCCCTTGATCTGGTAGTAGCTGTTGAAGGCGTACGAGGCGTGGGCGATGAGTGTGGGCGGGTTGTAGCAAGCTCCTCCGTTCTGGATGGCAGCGCAGTCGGCGCCCCCTTCGCCACACGCGAAGTTGAGGCCCTTCGACAGCACCGCCTGGTCGGCGTGAGGCTTGGCCACGCACCACACCTGGCTCCCCGTCTTCGTGTCTTGTCTCGAGCTCTCCGTGCGATCGAGCGCCCCTGGATCATTGGAACCATGATATCTTTGTAGATTCTTCTTTTCACTCTTTTGGGCTTGAGCTTGCTGGATGCCCAACACAGGAAAAGAAAAACAAAACTCCTTTTCTACTCTTACCTAGGATTGGCGCTGTTGCAACCACTAGTGCTATGTAGCCCACGAGGATGGCACGCAGCAAACTGGTCTTGCTCGCCATAGCAGTGCGACAAAGTCCACTAAAAAGAAGAAGGGAGGATGACACAGGGTATTCTAGCAGAAAAGACGGAAATCCTTCAAATATTTGATACCCGACCAGACCAACGGTCATGTAATCCAGTGTAAGAGAAAACGGAAACTTGAAAGAGATTAAGGATCTCCTGCTGCTGCAGGGTAGCTGCACGATCCGTAGCCTGGATTGGATTCAAGAAGTGTAGCAACTAGTGAGAGTGCAAACAAAAAGACGAGAATGCAGTAGTACTCACTCGGGTCCGTTGCGGTGAGCGTGGCCGTGTTCCCAAAGTCGCAGTTCCAAGGCTTGCGGCCGTACTTGTGGTAGAACATGTTGAAGGCGTAGGATGCATGCGACACGAGGCTGTTGGGCTGGAAACACGAGCCGGCTGGCGACGATATCTCCTTGCAATCCGCCTCGCCCTGCCCGCATGCGTAGTTGAGTGCGGTGAGCAGTGCCCGCGAGTCGACATCGGTCTTTGCAACACACCAGGAATTGCCACTGCTCAGCTTGTGATCCTGCTGCCCATCCTTGTACCCACGCATCCGCGTGGTGTTGGAGCTGCTACTTACAGTAGTGGCAGTGGCAGTGCCACCGCCAACATGGGTGCCACTAGTTAGCAGTAACCCGGCGTCGTAGATGGGCGTGCCATCGGTGGCAAACAAGCCATAGTTCCTCTCCGACGCGGGGCCGGGCTTGAGGTCCTCGTTGAAGAGAGCAAAGATGTAAGTGTCGAGCTGTTGACGCGGGCGGAGGGGCGTGCCCGAGCTGGACGCCAGGTGTGCGACGAGTCCACTTGTAAAGGCCCGGGCATTGTCCACGCTGGCCCCGACCTCGTCCGAGCCTCCCTGCGACGGCCAGCCCGTCTCGGTCACGGCTACCGGGATTCCAAAGTGGCCCATGCGCTCCATGGCGGCCACCGCCGCGTCCACCTGGGCGGTGTACATGTTGGTGTAGATGAGACCGGTCTTGGGGTCGGGTGCGCCGGCGTTGGGCTGGAAGAGCGCGTACGGCAGGGGAATGTCGTGCGGGTTGCCGGCAAACGCAAAGTACGGGTAGGCGTTGACCAGCAGCGGCGCGCGCGTGTCGGCCAGGAAGCGGAGCAGCGGGTCGAGGAGCGGCGCGAGGTCCGCGCGGAAGGCGGCGGACGAGGGCGGGAAGGAGTTGTCGAGGATGGCGAAGGAATGCGGGGTGGACACGTGGACGGTGTCGGCGAGCTTGGCGGCGGCGAGCGCGGTGTGGATGTTGCGGATGGCGGGGACGATGGCCGCCGCCAGCTGCTGGTCGTCGGCGCTGAACACCTCGTTGCCGACAGTGACGAGCGTGATGCGCGTGCCGGTGGCGGCGAAGGGGGCGATGTTGGCCGACACCCAGGCAGCCGCCGCGGATGCGTTGGCGGCGAGGGCGGGCACGTCGGCGTTGCACACACCCACGGCCACGTCGATGCCGGTGTTGGCCATGGCGTGCAGGAATGCCGCCTCCGTGTTGAAGATGCGCACCTTGGCAATCACCGTCGACTGGAGCAGCTGCGCTACGTGCTGTGCCGCCGGGAGATTGTTGCCAAGTTGCCCAAAGTTGACGCCAATGCCGGGGATGACACTGCGAGCTTGTTGGATTTGGCTCCCCTCTGCGACAAACGTATCACCTGCATGAACGCGTAGCTATAGTTACAAAATGATTACTTCAAACTCACCCATGCTCGCCACCAGCGCCAAGAGCAACAACAATGCCGGCCTCATGTCTTCACAAGTTTTCACAAGTTTTCACACTTCGACGAGGCTACTCTTATCGCCCAAGGAAGATCCACGAGAAGAGAACAGAACAAGCAAATAAAAAGAGAGGATGATTTCTTTGCCTTTTTTTTGCGCAGGCAGCCTTTCAGAGATCAAAGCTAAACAAAGGAAAGCCACTTTGCCTGGACTTTTTTGCTTGCCTTTTTTTACTTACACGGGGACAAAAAATGTTGCTCTCTCTCGCCATATCTTGTAAAAAGTAGTATAGTAGCACCACCACTAAAGCACACTAGAGCCAAAGGATCATTCGCTGTGGCGTGTGGCACGCCCAGCTTCACCTGTTGTTGCTGTTCATGTCCCCCTCCCTCCGTCCCCCGTTCCTAAAGGAAACGTAGTTTACGAAAATCCAAGCTCCTCTCCTCGCCTCGTCCCACTTCAGCCACCATTCCGGCAGTGTGCCTTGCTGAGAAGCTAAGCAGGCAGGGCATTTTACCAGGACTCCTTCCTGAACCTGCACCAATGCACTCTCTCTCACACTGCCCACAGAAGCATCACCAGTAGGTGCCGCTGCAGCGTAGAAATGTCTTGTGTGTGTGTCAGCGATCAATGGTCAGGTGTCCAACATGTCGTCGTGGATCTCGTTGGGAGCAATCAGCCCGGGGACGCTAAGCATTCTTTGCCTCTCCGCTTCTCGCTGTGCTGCTGCTTCGTCCGCATACAAGTCCTTGTTGTCCTGCACAGCAAGGCCTCGTCACATCAAATGACACAGCGAAGTCGTCACGTACCTGGACGGAAAACTTCTTCGACTGGATCAAAAAGTCCCGTAGATGGTTCTTGAACCCGACCAGGTCGTTTCTGTTGTCGAAAAGACCGTTCACGAACATCGTCACCTGAACAAGAAGCATGTGAGGCGACAAGGACCTCCGAAACAGCAAACATGTGTACCTCTGAAAGCGTCATGTTCGGAAACGAGGAGTGAAGGAGTTTAATAGTATAGTCACGAACAAAAAGCATGTTGTTTGCGTAAGCAGTAGGTCCAGCTACGCTCACGTCCCACAAAGGTTGCGTCAACACTCCGGAATCAACCTGTGCCCACCCTCGAGAGTAAGCTTAACCAACTTGCATACACAAACTTTTACCAGGCAGAAAAGATGCCGAAGAATGAGAACATGAAGCTTGAAGCCGGGTTTATGGAACGTGTCGGTCAGAACAGCAAATATTTCCTGTTCAATGGTAAGGAAGTAGCTTTGATGGAACTGGTTGCAAAATTCGGACGCCTGAAGTATAAAAGAGGCATTACAGCAAAGAACCGAGTAAAGTAAAACGCACCTGAAAGTTGGAGAGCATTTCCAGCAACAAGTTCAGTCCTGTTTCGGCAACATTTCGTTCTGTATGCCGAAACGCCCAGATTATCGAATCCATCACAAGCTTCAATTGCTGGGAACACATTGACAGCATTGAGAAAAAATCGTACCAACAGCTGCAAAAGAGATACCTGAGACGAGAGAGAGAAAAGCGCCCGAAAACAATGCGATGCTATAGCCCGAAGCAAAGAGAAAAACTTCAGTCGGTGTTCCGGATAATCTTCAAAATTCTTGGTAATCATCTGGAACGAAAAACACAAGGGAATTAGAATGGCACGAAAAAGGTACCAAAGATACCTCTAGCGTGCATGCAAAGACTGCTTCAAATATCCGAGGGACGTCCTCGATCATAGAGCCGGTAAGCCTGTTGACAAAGATCATACAAAATAAGCAGGCAATCGAAAAGCAAAACGTACTTGTTAATGATCGTAGCGAACAACGATAGCACTTCCGATTCACGTGCATCGGCAACGTTCCTAGCATAGTCACCAAGTATGGGATCCATCATTGCCGGAACAAACTGCTTTGCAACCATTTCCAGGTCTTCACATTTCTCTATAAACGTCTCAATCAATTTCAACGTCTCCTGCTTCACAGATCTGCTAGAAACATAAGACCGGAGAAGGCAAAGATATCTCCATCGTACCTCAAAAGCTTCACGTAAGAGGTGCGAGATGCGTATGGACCGCCTCCAGCAATACTGCTTGAAATAAGTTCGCTATACATTCTGAAAACAAGAGAAACATCAGAAACTGGTTAGAAATGGAAAAGCTTCTACCTGTAAACGTTGAGCATATCAAGGTAAATTAGAGTTATTTGAGATAAAAAAGGCTGTCCAAGTGAGTTTGCAGCACTCGTGTTTGTCTGTTGCAGGAGAGCACGAATCAAAACATTTAAAGCACCAACTCCAGTTACAGTACCTGCAAAATGTTAAGCACGGCCCTCGCAACGTCCTGAGTTTTCAAAAAATCCACACTCTGCCGCGCTTGGTTGATTATCTCCGCCCATTTCTGTAAAGCCAAAAGTCAGGAACTGCAAACACGCAAACAGCTCCGCCCACCTGATTGGGCAGCTCCATTAAGCTCCGTAGATACTCTTCCCGTCTGTATGGATCTGACTCGGCTTGAATCATAGATCCCACCTGCGCCCACGAAACGCTCAGTGAACTACGTTATGAGCCCCATCACATACCGCTTCATAAAAAGTATGGATCTGATGATTTTCAAGATCTAGAATAATACTTGGAAGCAACTTTAAGAGCTCGCAAACGAAAGGCTCAGTCTCTCCGACCTGCAGCGCACGTAGATCCTAGAGATGTTTGCGACGAAACAAATACATTACCTGCAGGATGACAAACTTCCTCCTGCATTTTTGGACAATCTTCAAGAATGTATCGCAAGCCATGTCCTGAAAATGACAGTAATGCAATCTATCACCACTGCAAATTGACGTCCTTACCTGGACGCCGGGATGGGTCTCATGCATAAACTCAAACAGTTTGTTCACAACAGTTTTTAAAAACTTCCAATGGGCTCTCAGAAATCTGGGATACTGTCCCACAACATACCTGAAATACAACCATTAGACCGGGCAATTTCGTAGGCTGTAGATGAGGCATCATACATTATATTACTTGCAATAACGGCTTTGTTGTCCTTTCCTTTCGTTATTTCACAGAGGTTTAAAAGGTCCCTAATAACAGTAACCAGAAACCTATTCTCCTGCAGGAAAAGAGTTACTTTCTCAATATAAAGTCGACAAAAGAAAAAAGGAGAAAGAAAAGAACCTGGTCCTCTTGCATGGAACCAGATATCGACCCTATGGCCCAACAGAGAGTATTCAAGTTATTCCATGTCCACTCGTCCCCGTTAAGCTGTTTGGATAGCTTTTTCAGCATCTGCGCAGAGAAAAGCGGAGTAAGGTTAGCAACCTGTCAAAAGATTGACATCGATATTGTACCTGCTGTTCTGTGTCTTCATGATCAAGGTGGGAGAGATATATTAGAGTCTCCCGCATTATCTGACAATCGAAAATTAACAATCGCAATTGAAAAAGTAAAGAAACTACCTTATATTGAACAAGTACGTCGTTGTCCTTCATGGTCTCTCGGACAATGTTCCCGTTCTCGTCTTCTACAATCAAGACCTCCTCCGGCTTGGCCATACGGCTGACCATCAGCAGTCTCAATTTGGAGAGTGGCACAGCATACAGCTCTTTTCTGTTGGAGCCTATGCCATCAACTTGCAAACCAACAGGTTGAGAGAGCGTGTCCATTGTAACCTTGAACAGGTGGCCAATCCAGTAATTCCAATAGTCCAAGCACACCTTGAAAACCTCGTTGTCTTCGACGTAAGATATGTTGATGAGATAATCCAGTCCCAGCAACAGTGGTGCTTGATTCGAACCTTCCAGAATCTCGATGTGCGACTGTTTCAAAACGTTTAAAGTAGAAAAACAAGTTCATCAAACAGATAAAAAGTTACCTTGAAGAACGATGTGAAGAACATCGCAAGATTCTGAATGAACGCCTACAAAACGTGCAGAGAAAATTATACGGACGCAAAGTAGATGTAAGTGGGCAAGTACCTGATCCTCGTTCGCACCCTTCTCATACGCTTCAGGAATATTTGTTCCCGGTGGAAGGATTGCCTACCCGAGCAAAACAGGTGGTTAAGTGTGTGTATATGGTGATACGATACCTGAAGCTGCGTTATGAAGATTTGGTACAGGCGCACAAAGTTGTTGTCGTAGATTTGGTTGAATTGCAAGGTACCGATCTGTGGAAGGCATATCACGTGTTAGAGAAAGTTTTGATGGAAAGATGCACGTACCTCTGTCAGGCATTGCAGAGCAAGGTTCCGAAAAGTCGCAATGGGGAAGATCTTCAGCAGTGCGTCGAGCTGAAACAGAAACATAAGTATAACTGCATAGCGAGCAGCCACAAGGTTATAATACCAGGGGAGATTCGAATATGTAGCCAAGAGGTATCCATGACAAAAAAGCGTGCAGGGTAGCCAACGTCGCGCGTATAAGATCAGCCTTTTGTGATGCCGATAACACGTAGAGACAAAGCTCGTGAATGAGTTGGAACTCGCTGCACAGAAAGATTGAGGACGATGAGAAGCGCTAAGTGCAAAGCTCTGTACCTGTTCAATGACTGCTTTAGCTCTTTGATTTTGCTTTGGGTCATTTCGCCTTGAGAAAAATCGAAAACCTCCTCGCTTAGCAGCTTTACAGAACGGGTCAAAGACGCAGCATAAGGAAAGTGAACAACCAACCTTCAAAATGAGCATGCAGTTCTCACAAAGAGTTTCGCTACTTCTAGCCGCCACGACGAGGTCGGGAATGAATCTCGGCCACCTAACTGGCCACTCGTGTTTTAAAACCTGTTTGCCACGGTCACAAGAGGGCAGTGATCAGCCTGTGAGCAGAATAGAAGCCAGGCACAGACCTGAACAAGCACCACATTTAGCTTGTTGATGTATAAGCGTTGATCTCGGAACGACACCGGATCACTGGACAGCTGCACTCAACCCAAACAAAGAGAGTTTTTGATCACGAACATGGCAAAGCCAAGGCAAACCTTGACGATGAGGTCCGAGACGTAGTTTTTGATCCCGTCTCGCTGTTCTACAGGCAAGATGTTCCAGCGGTACTTGATCACGCACTCGAGCACCTGAAGTGTCGATGAGAGGCGGTGAGAAGCCACGAATGATCCATCCATTACCTGGAGGGCAAAGAACTTGGAGTTGAGGTTCTGGGAGGTCTGGAGGATGTCCACAACCCTCCTCCACGTCTCGGGATGGTCCCGCAGCTGGGTGAGGATTTTCTCCGCGGCTGCTCTCTGAAAGAACACAAAGAAAGATCCGCGCTCAATCCATGGATCCCAGAGTGGTGGCGAATGCAATTGGAGCTCAAGAAAGGGGAAAAACCGACGAATGCAATGCCGAATGGGAGCTAAAACTCACCTCATCCTTGGAGCCCGTCCCGTAAAAGGCAGCGACGGTGGCGTCGAGAACCGGCACATCAAATGGCTGCCCAAAGTCGAGCAGCTTCTCCGCCATGAGCGCCACCGCGTCGATCGCCCCCCTCGTCAAATTGCGAAACCCTAGGGTTTTCTCCAACACACACACGCCACTTTGGTTTTTTCCCGTTAAACCCTATTTGACGGCCTCGCTCATTCAAGAGAAGCCAATGCGCCGCCCGCCATTCCATCGCGCTTCATTCGCTTGGCGCGCTCGGAGCAAGAACGAATCGAGAACTTTTCTTTTGTATTAATTGGATTCAAGGCCAACAAGGACATCGATTGATTGATTCTAGTACGCTAGAGTCGAGAAATTCCAGTGCCAGTGACTGAGGTGAATGTCTGCGAAGCTACTATCAGATAGACACCCAGCGGTGATTCGGGTGCTGTCAGCGAAACTTGCAGATCTGGTTTGCTATGCGCCTCTGATGAATCAGACACGGCGAGAAACAAAGCCGTGGCTGGGATTAACAAAGAGGCGGCCGAGAGCCCTAGCTAAGAACCCTAGAAACTTCCCATCTCTCTCTCTTATATATATACTCACTCCATCACGATCACGAGCATATCGGGCAGCGAACCAAGCCATTCTCGTTGCATTCCGGGCACTTGACGACGCCTCCGTCGGCGCCGACGCTCTTGCAGCTGCCACTGCAATCCGTGCAGGGGATGAATCGCACGCCGCCGCAGCCATCGCAGTCCTTGCTCAGGTTGCCGTGCGGCAGGCCGTGGAGCATCCTGGCCAGCGCGCCGCTCTCGTGCGCCGCCACCACCTCCTCGGCGCCGCCAATGTAGCGCCCCTTGATGAAGAGCCGCGGCACCGGCACCGGCTTGTCCATGAGATCCTTGAGCTCCTGCCGGAACTGCGAGTCCATGGACACGTCCCGCTCGTCCACCTCCACGTTGGTGCTGTGGAGGATGTTCCTCACCGTGTTGCAGTCCTCGAACGTCTTGCGGATGCCCCGCAAGCTGGTGGAGTAGAGCACCGCCTTGTTCTCGCCATCCGGGGGGCATCTCTTTGGACAGTGTTGGAGCAAATCGATCTCCATAGCTGCTGCTGGTGCTGGTGGAGCAGGAGGAGGGGCTTTGCTGCTGTAGCTTCGATCCGCCGCTTGGTTCTTCTCGTTCCAATCCGCCACCTTGCTCTGCACTGTGCCAGCCTTCGAATCCGTCCTTGTCTCTCCGCGGCCACGAGTTGCTTGTTGCTCGGCTTCTTCTTCTTCGCGATCTGATACTGGCATTGCAGGCGGCGCCGCCACCTTACTCCTGTCTTGGCGATTTGCTCCTTGGGAAGAGACCATGGCCTTGCTCTTTGCCGCCACTGCCACCTTGGGCCGAGGCTGGGAAAGTCCCTGCTTCCCCGCCGCGGCAGTAGCAGCAGCGGAAACGCCTGTCGACAACTGCTCGAACGCCTCCCTGAATGACTCGAGGAACTCGGCATCAAACAGCGTACTATCCACTTGTCGACCAGCGTCGCCACCACCACCACCATCGCCATACGTCGACAATGATCTCGACGCCTTGCTCGGCACCTTGGACCTGCTATCGGGGCGTCTCACCACCGAGCTCATCGAGAACCTGTTGGTTGCATTCGCGCCGTTGCTCGACCGGCCGTTTGGCATGCTGCTGTGCCGGAAGAAATCCTCCTCGCTTTCGGTGTCGCTGTCTTGAGAGGCAGCCGAGTTGGAGTACGCGAGCTGGTCGACTTCTTCCAGAGTGTGGATCACCGAAAACTCTCGCTTGGGCTGCGACGGCGGAGACGCTGCTGGTGGAGCTGGAGCTTTCGGAGTTTTCGGTGGTGCCTCCTCCACGCTCTGGAGCAGCTTCAAAACATCCACGGTCTCGGGCTCGACTCTCCCGGAAAGTGCACTGGCGCTGGTTTTCTTGTGCTGCGCCTGCGACTTAAGCTGCGTGAGAACACTGTTCACCTCCGACCACGACTGCGGCAACTGTGAGCCCCCCGACTCCAAGCTCATCATCTTCTGATACACCTCGTTCACCGGATCGTCCGCCACAGCCGCTGCTTCCTCGGACGAAGATTTCTTGTGCGAATCCACCCGCAAGAATCCATACGTGCTAGATGTGAGGGCGACGAGGTGCGCATCGTCAACGGGAGATCGAGCAAGAGGATGCGCTTTGCTGCCATGGTAGACATCCACATTCTTGGATGACGAGCACCCCATTCCTTTCTTGGATCTTGGGAAAGCAGCGGGCGGCGGCGGTGGAACTACTTGGACCCTTGCCTAAATAGCCATGCCCATACCTGTGGTGGCTATACAGCGCCATAGATCGCCCGCCCCGCCCTAGCCATTCCAAGAAGGAAGTGAGACCCCACAAGAAAAAAAACCCCACCAAATTTGAGGCTTCCCACCACAAAGAAGGAATATGCGCGGAACATTTCATCTGGTGGCTGTTTTTGTTTTCTTTTTTGTGATCGTGCATCCATGTCCCTTGACATCGCCCTCCAAAATCTACCAAAAGCCAAAGTTTCTTCTTGCCACTCGAAATTCGGGAGACTACAAGCTTTTCGCTTGTTGTTTTCTCAGGATAGATGTGAAGTTTATAGACAAAGATGGGTTTTGATTTCACTAGATCGGGTCAGTGTAACTCACTCACTTGAGAATGGAGAGGGAAGGAAGCGAAAGGAACCCTGGAACACGAATGAGATCGCATAAATAAGAACCGAGAAGAACTGACCAAGATGGGGGATGGTGGTGGTGGTGGTGGTGGTAGTGTAGATGCCCGATCCGGCTTGCTTGCTCTTGCTCGCTTTCAATTCATGCCATACTTTTGCGTCCACGCCCTGGCAGTCTCCTCATACCGGCTTCTCTGGTTCTTGTACATGTGGGCGATCTCGGGCACCAGAGGATCGTCGGGATTTGGATCGGTGAGGAGCGAGCAAATGGAGAGCAAAACCTTGGAGATGGTGAGAGCCGGGCTCCATTGCTCCTTCAAGATGTCGAGGCAGATGCTCCCATTGGAGTTGATGTTTGGATGGTAAACCTGCGTGAACGTTGCGTTACGCTCGGTAGCACCGAAGAGTGAGAGAGTTACCTTGGTCTGGAAGTTGACCTTGGGCGGCTTGAATGGATAGTCGGGGGGGAAGTGGATCATGACGAAGAAGACGCCGCCGGTGTAAGGGCTGTCGGGCGGACCCATGATTGTGGCCTGCCAGCGGAAGAGATCCTCACCAACGGGGCCGGCGCTGCATGACGTGGGCGGGTCGCGCTGCAAATCCAGCAGCTCCTTCTGGATGCGCTTGCTTGCCATTCACCACGCACAACGCTGCCCTAGCTATCTGGCCGGGGGGCCGCTTGACCAATGAGGAGCCGTGCCTTTACACCCCCGTTTTACACGTCGGACAGTTTGACTTTGCCCAGACCGGGTAAATGCGAGAGACATGGGCGATTAATCTGGTCGCCCGGCACCAAAATAATCCAACGGTCGAGATTAATTAGGTCGGAGGCAAGGAGCTAGGTCAAGACCAAAGGCACCCATCATGTGGTGGTGTGGGTGAGAGAGAGAAGGTGGAGTGATCGCATTTTGTGTGGATCGCAATCCAGGCGGCGATGGCGGGAGGCAGGGCAAGGTGCGCCGCCGCCGGATTGGGTCGGCTGCTCTACAGGAGTAGCAGCATCCGGAATGGCGGGTATGGCGGAATTGGGCGCTTGGGCGGCGTGAGGGGGTTTGCATCCGGGGAGGACAACGATGTGGTTGTCATTGGCGGCGGGCCTGGCGGCTACGTTGCGGCAATCAAGGCGGCGCAGCTGGGATTCAAGACGACGTGCATCGAGAAGAGAGGCTCCCTGGGCGGCACTTGCCTCAACGTTGGATGCATTCCTTCCAAAGTAAGTGCTGCTCACTCGATTCTTGGCATTTCTTGTGTGATTGCTCAACCCATGGATGGATGAACACCACAGGCATTGCTCCACTCGTCGCATATGTTCCACGAGGCCAAGCACACCTTCTCCAAGCACGGCGTCAAGGTGTCCGGCGTGGACATCGACGTTGCCGCGATGATGGCGCAGAAGGAGCAGGCTGTGTCGGGGCTGACCAAGGGAATCGAGGGCCTGTTCAAGAAGAACAAGGTGACGTACGTCAAGGGCAGCGGCAAGATCGTCTCCCCCAACGAGGTCGCGGTGGAGCTAGTCGACTCCGGCGGCTCGCAGAGCGTCAAGGGGAAGCACATCATCATCGCCACCGGATCCGACGTCAAGGGCCTCCCCGGCATCACCATCGACGAGAAGAAGGTGGTGTCGTCCACGGGGGCGCTGGCGCTAGCGGAGGTGCCCGATAAGATGGTGGTGATCGGCGCGGGCTACATTGGCCTGGAGATGGGATCCGTGTGGGGGCGGCTGGGCTCCGAGGTGACGGTGGTGGAGTTCGGGGACGTGATCGTCCCGTCCATGGATGCCGAGGTCCGCAAGACGTTCCAGCGCTCGCTGGAGAAGCAGAAGATGAAGTTCGTGATGAAGACCAAGGTTGTCAAGGTGGAGGAGTCGGGCTCCGGGCTCAAGCTCTCCCTGGAAGCGGCGTCCGGCGGCTCGCCGTCGAGCCTGGAGGCGGACGTGGTGCTCGTCGCCGCGGGGCGGTCGCCATACACCAAGGGCCTGGGACTGGAGGAGGTGGGGATCAAGCTCGACAAGATGGGCCGGGTGGAGGTGGACGACCACTTCCGGACGAGCGTCCCCAGCGTCTACGCCATCGGGGACGTGATCCGGGGGCCGATGCTGGCGCACAAGGCCGAGGAGGACGGGGTGGCGTGCGTGGAGCTCATCGCCGGCAAGGCCGGGCACGTCAACTACGACACGGTGCCGGGCATCGTGTACACGCACCCCGAGGTGGCATCGGTGGGCAAGACGGAGGAGCAAGTCAAGGCGCTGGGGATCGCGTACAGCGTTGGCAAGTTCCCGATGATGGCCAACAGCCGGGCCAGGACGATCGACGACGCCGAGGGGATCGTCAAGATCATCGCGGAGAAGGAGAGTGACAAGATCTTGGGCATCCACATCATGGCGTCCAACGCCGGCGAGATGATCCACGAGGCGTGCCTTGCGCTCGAGTATGGTGCGTCGAGCGAGGACATCGCCAGGACGTGTCACGGGCACCCGACGCTGAGCGAGGCCGTCAAGGAGGCCGCCATGGCCACCTATGACAAGTCCATCCACTTCTAAGCTTCTCACTCCTCCATCGATACTTTTTTAAATACGAGGAACGTTGTCCATGACCAATAAAAGAACTCCATTTTGCCATTGATCTACTTTTAGGGTTCTTGGGAATGGACGGGGGCGTTCCAAGGATTGTGGGAGTGGAATGGGGGCGCGATTTGTGTGTGGAGCGGAGCAATGGTAGCGCCGCCAAGGACGTGTTCTACAATGTGAGCCTGGAAGCTGCATCTGGATCGCAGCCTCCAATTGCGATTCACTTCGTGTGTGGGGTTGAGGAGCTCCAGGATCTGGTCGCCACGCTGAAGGATGCTTGCAAAGAGGTAGAGAGGCAGCTAGCTAGCTAGAATTTCAGCTAGCTAGTTACGTGTTGATCGAAGATTCGAAACGTAGACAGGGAGAAATTTTTTGATCCTAGATAGATACTGTAGAAATGGACAAGAGGAGGAAGCAGCGTGTTGTGGTGGTGGGAGGTGGCATTGCCGGGGTGCATGTGGCAAAAGCTCTTGAATCGGAGGCCTCGGTTTCGCTGATCGATCCGTAAGTCTCTCGTTTTCTTCTCTTGTTTGTCTTGACAAAGTGATGTGATGATATTGGCAGGAAGGATTACTTGGAGATACCTTACGGTGCTCTCCGAAACACAGTCGAGCCTTCATTCGCGGAGCGATCCATCGTTCCATACTCGGAGTTTCTGACGCAAGTGGAGCTCGTCCAAAGCGCGGCCGTGAGTGTGAGCAGTTCTCCTGCTCAGGTCTCGACTAGCACCGGCCGAAAACTCCCTTACGACTTTTTGGTCATCAGCACCGGATCGCATGCCAAGGGTGCACCCACTAGACGAGACCGCATTCAAGAAATCTTGGCTGGTTTGTAACTTCAAAGCCTTTTTCCTCGTTTTGTTTTCTCACTCACGTTTTGGTTCCATGAACAACAGACCATGAGAGGCTGAAGGGAGCAAGTTCGATTCTCGTCGTTGGTGGAGGTCCCGTCGGCGTGGAACTTGCTGGAGAGATTGTCACGGACTTTCCCGAGAAAAGCGTATCTTTGGTACAAGGCGGTCCTCGGCTCATCGAGTTCCTCGGCCCCTCGGCTTCCACCAAGGCTCTCAACTGGTTGACGTCCAAGTCTGTCCGGGTTCTTCTGAAGGAGCGAATCACAAGCTCGGCCTCGCCACCAATCTTTACCACAGAGTCCGGGAAGCAAATCCCAGCGGACACACACTTTGTGTGCACGGGTTCCAGGCCCAGCAGCTCCTGGCTCAAGGGCACCTTCCTGGAGGACTCCCTCGACGGCAATGGAAGGTTACGGGTCGACTCGGCGCTACTCGTGAGTGGAACGCGGAACGTGTTTGCGTGTGGAGACATCACCGACCTGAAGGTAGGAACCTATATCTAGCATCTCTTCTTCTACTCTAAACATCTTTACAGGAGATTAAGCAAGGATTTCTCGCCGAGAAGCACGCCAAGGTCGTCGCCGCAAACATCCGAAAGCTGACCAATGACGCTGATTGCGGCGACTTAAGGTGCTACTGTCCGCTGGAACGGGCAATGGGACTGGTTTCTCTGGGGCGTCACGCAGGAGTAGCTCAACTTCCCTTTGGAACTTTTGTTGGCTGGATCCCTGGCCTTGTCAAGAGCCGGGACTTGTTCGTTGGGAAGACCAGGAAGGGACTTGGCCTTCGCAGCTGAAAAAAAGAGCTCCGCGTTTTAGGCTATAGGTAGGAACGAGGGCAGGTTTTTCCTGATATCACGCTTCGGTGACGAGAAGAAGAAGTCGGTCCTGTCCGGCTTTATCTCATCTCCAACTCTTTGTTGGACACGGTTGGCAGGCAGCAGAATTTTCAGATCAGACGGGGTGTGATCAAGATCAAGATGAAGAAGCACCTCGACAAGAGAAGGCAAAACAGTGAGTCGCTGGATCTGGAGGACTTAAAGATTCCCGAGTTTGTGTGGACGGGAGATGGGAGGGGGCATTCGGCTTCAGATGGCTTCCACATTCCAAAGTGTCCGGTGCTCGTCTTTATCAACACCAAAAGTGGTGGGCAGCTTGGCAAAGTTCTCCTCCAGACTTGCAAGACGCTCCTGGATTCACGCCAGGTACCTTAAGTTCAGGACCACTTGGTTTCTTCTCTAAAATCTTGCTTCTCTTCTTCAGTTGTTTGATCTGAGCGAGGAAGCTCCGGACAAGGTTCTAGATCGGATACTCAAGCGCTTGAAAGATTTAACAGAGGCAGGAGATGAAGTTGCCGGAGAAATTCGCGAGCGGTTGCGGCTTGTGGTGAGTCTCGGCTACTGCCCTCTCGTGGAGAATTTGATTTGATGTACCTACAGGTTGCTGGAGGCGATGGTACCGCCGGCTGGTTACTTGGAATTATGGGAGACTTGAGGCTCGAGAAGCCAATTCCTATTGCAACTATTCCTCTTGGAACCGGCAACAATCTCCCGTTTTCTTTCGGATGGGTACGTGTTTTGGATGTTCTTTTCCAATGAAAACTGGTTCTTTTTCTTGTGCGAGCAGGGAAAGAAGAATCCTGGAACAGATGCCGAGTCTGTCAAACGGTTTCTAGCAGATGTCATGGACGCCCATCCTTTGCAAGTCGACAGGTAAAAAAAAGTGCCTGGAAGTAATTGTCTGGAAAAACAGAGAAAAAACGCGCATTTCGGTAAATTTTACCTCCTTGAAGCGAATAGTGTTGGGATGTCTCAGTGACTGGCTATGCTTTTGTTGCATACTCAACTTACAATGCTGGTTTTCTTGTCTCTGCAGCTGGCATCTAGCGATGAAAATGGAGGGAACAACTGATCTTGGTCTCGAGGCTCCACATTCGTTACACGTCTTCAAGAAAAGTGAAGAGAGCCGCGTAAGAAAACGAATTTTGTGAGAGAGGCACTTATGAGCTGAGTTGTGCATGGTCGCAGGAAAAGCTGCAGATCTATCGAGGAGGATTCTGGAATTATTTCAGCATAGGTGAGGTGCAGTACCGCTCCAGTGCTTATAATCATTTTTACTTTTTCTTTGCAGGAATGGATGCACAGGTTTCTTACGAATTTCATGAGCAGAGGCAGAAGCACCCTGAAAAGTTCAGTAACCAGATGCGAAATCAAGTAAGTGTCCTCTAATGTAAGCTTTTAAGTAGTTAACACGATTTTTGCAGTGCACGTATGCAAAACTTGGCTGTACGCAAGGCTGGTTCTGCCCTTCTTGTAGGCGCCGTGCTTCATCAAAGTTCGTAGTTGATACATTTTTTCCTAGTCGCTGAACCAATCAATGGTTGGCTTTTTGCAGGAACATTAACGACCTTGCAACTGTATACGTGCTCGATAAAGGAAAGTGGACGGAGTTAAAGATCTCGTCAAGGTTTGAAACGCTGGAACTTCAAAATTCTCGAGGCTAATGCTACCGCATTTCATGACAGCATACGAGCGCTTGTGCTGCTGAACTTGCCGAGCTTTTCTGGAGGCTTGGATCCCTGGGGAAATCCGGACGACAAGTTATCCCACGAGCGGGGTCTGACAGTTCCAAGGGTCGACGATGGCCTGCTAGAGATTGTGGGATTCAGGGACGCCTGGCATGGCCTCTTCCTTCTGTTTCCACACGGGCACGGGACACGTCTCGCACAGGTATTTATATTGATCTCCTTCGTCTCACCACCTTTGCGTGTCCCACAGGCCAACCGGGTGAAGATAGTCTTTCAGGCTGGCTCCACGAGCAGCCACACTTACATGCGAATGGATGGCGAGCCGTGGAAACAACCCCTGCCGGAATCCCACCACGGAAACCCCACGGAGATTGAAATCTCGCACCACGGCCAGGCCGTGATGCTGGCAAAGGAAGGCTGCATTGCCGAGGCCAAGGACGAGTACCAGCACGTAATCTCCTTCACCAGGCATGGGGTGGAGCACGGCCTTCGTCACAAGCCGGTGGCTCCTCAAGACGACAGTAGCGGTTCCGATGATGACGAGACGAAGCGAAAGTTTGGAGCAGCCTCCACATTCCGGGCCTAGGCAAGGCAAGCGGCAGCAGCCTGTGATGCTCCAAGCGGCTGCCACTCGGAGCCATGTCCGTGTCCGGTGATACCTTTGTAAGTATTGGACAGCAGCACATAAGTCGAGGAGCTCACCGTGTCCGACTTGAGAACGTTCCGTGCGGCTCGGGCCCCGAGCTTGGAGTCCCCGTGGATCCGACAGGCTGCCAGCAAGATCGTCCACACGACACAGTCGGGCTTGTAAGGCATGTTGTCGATGAGCTCCTCGGCTTCCTGGAGCAGCTTGGCTCGGCCCAGGAGATCGATGATGCAGGCGTAGTGGAACTCGGTGGGAGCAACTTGGAAGTTTTCAGTCATGGAGAGGAAGCACTCCCGGCCGTGTTTGAGCAGACCAGCGTGGCTGAGACCCGTGAGCGTGACGACGAAAGTGGTCTCGTTAGGTCTCACTCCTGCCAGGCTCATCTCTCGGAAAACTTGGGCTCCATAGCCACTGCTGTTGTGAGCATAAGCCGCGATTATCACATTCCACGCCGTGAGATCCTGCGCGGGCATTCTCTGGAAGAAAAACTTCGCTTGATCGACATGCCCGGATTGAGCATACGCTGCAAGGATCGCGGTCCACGCCACCATATCCTGCTCCGGCATCAAGCCAAAGATTGCAAGCGCTTGTTCCATTCGATCGCGGTAGTGCTGGTTGTTTGCGCTTGTCATTGTATACGAAACCATGAGAGCGTTCCAGGACACGGTTCCTCTCTCGGGCATTGCATCAAAAACTGCTTTTGCTTGCGCCAAGTCTCCTCGCTGGCTGAAACCCGCCACCATTGCGTTGCAACCGATCATGCTGTGTTGTGGATTTCGCGAGTTTACCTCCTGCGCGTCTTCCATGAGGCCGTTCTGTGCATAGCCGGACATGAGCGCTGTCCAGGACACGGCATCCCGGAAGGGCATTCCATCAAACAGAAGCTTGCACTGGTGAGGATAGCCTCTCTGCGCGAAGGAAGTGATGAGCGCTGTGCATGAAACCACGTCCTGCTCCGGCATTCTGTCGAACAGCGCCTTGGCCTCCTCGAGGTACGCGTTTGCGACGTAAGCCTCGATCATCGACGTCCAGGAGACGTGATCCGGCTGCTGGACTCGGGAGAAGATGTTCCGGGCTTGGTGGATGCGGCCAGATTCACCATGAGCGATCAGAAGAGAGTTCCACGACCTGGTGTCGTGCTGCGGCATCCGATGGAACAAGAGCTCTGCCTCATCAACATGCCCGTTCTGGGAATATGCTGCGACGATCGCGTTCCAAGTTACGACGTTCCTCTCCGGCATCTTCTCGAACAAGAAATGAGCCTCGGAAAGGTAGCCGCACTGGCACAAGACTGTGAGAAGCGTCGTCCATGTCAAGACGTCACGCCATGGCTGCTTGAGAAAGGCAACTCGGGCATCTTGCAAATTCCCGCTTGCGGCATATGCTGCAAGCAAGGCGTTCCACGAGACATTGTTCCTCGAGGGCATCTGGTGGAACATCAAGGCTGCCTCGGCGACCTCCCGGTTGAGCGCGAGCGCGGAGATGAGAATGTTCCACGAGTAAACGTTGGGGTTCTTGATGCAGCGAAACACGGCCCTGGCCGCCGCCATCCAGCCGCACTTGCCGTACATCTCCACCAGGAGATTGGCCAGCATCCGGTTGTTCTTGAGATCCGAGAGCATGATCTGCGCGTGGATGTGCCTGGCCCGGGGCAAATCCCGCGCAGTGCAGCACGACTGGATGAGCGGAGCCCAGTAGCTCGCATCGGTGGCGATAGCGGCGGCGTCATGGCAGAGCGTTCTCGTGTTCTTGGCTGCCTTGTGCCTGAGAGAGGCACAGCGCATTGGATTCCACTCATTCACGAATCACGATCGATACAAAGAGAATGAAGTCCTAGAGAAGATGGGTTTTAGGTCGCGAGACAATTTGGCGAGGGATGAGGCAGCTCTTGGGCGCGCAAGCTCTTGGGAGGAAGCTCGCGCCATCGCTGCCCCTGGGATGGTGTAGGTTTTGCTCCTCGCAGCCATGGCTAAGGTACGCTCCCTCTCCCTGGGACAATGTGGATTCAAACACCACGAGTAGCGCGACGCGGCCCTCGCCTAGCATCGGCTATGCTGCGCCTCCTCCTCCGCCACCACCGCCACCGCCGCCGCCAACTCATCGACCTCCTCCGCTTGGATTTGGAGCACCGCCGCCGCCGCCTCCTCCTAGGCCGAGTATTCCCTGGCCCGGAAGCATCGAGCTCGGTGATCGCGGAAGTGGATTGGCGCCGCCTCCTCACTACGCATCGATCGCTCCTCCGCAGCACCAGGTACTCCAGCTATTCCAAGATAGATTCTTTCCAAGATCTCACAAAAGCTTCTCTACTTGTAGGAGAGCGTTTCCATGAATCGAGCACCACCACCACCACCGCCTTCACCGCAGCATCCCGCGGAGGCTTCCACCATCTGTGACGCTCTCATCGCCTCGTTCCACAAGCGAGGTTTGCTCCACGAGATGGACACGCTCATCAAAGCCATGAAAGCAGCGGAGGTCGTCGTTGGACTCCCGGCCTACATGGCTCTCTTCGGCATCTACAGCCAGCACAACGACATCGAGCGAATGGATGCCGTGTACGCGGAGATGAGGCGAGCTATGGTGGCGAGGTCCTCGGGGGGCCACGAGAGGCACCACTCGTCGCCTTCTCCACAGCAAAAGCAAGAGGCTTCGTACCACTTTGCGAGCTTGGTGGATGCGTGCCACAAGCGGGGGCTGGCCGAGGATGTCTCGCAGATCCACAGGGCGATGAAAGCGTCGGAGCTCGCCATCGCCATCCCGACTTACAAGCTCGTGATTGAGAGCCTCAGCCAGCTTGGAGACTGCCAGCAAATGGACGCCGTCTACTTGGAGATGCGGGAAGCCATGAAGAAAAGAGGACCGCCTCCGCCATCGCCTTGGGCTCTCCCACCACCGCCGCCGCCTTCTCATGCCTTGAGCTTTGGATCTCGGCCACCTTTGGCTGGCGATGCAAAGATGACCATGGCTGCTCGGCCGGATGGGAGCTTCGACTATACTCGTCCAGTACAGCACTACCAGTTACAACAGGCTCCCGGAGCATTCTATCCTCCTCCATTCTTCTCCCCGCCGCCGCCACCACCGCCACCTCCCGGATTTGGACATCCTCCTCCTCCTCCTCACCATGTCCAGTTTCAGCAGCAACCTCCACACTTTCAGTTCCCACCACCGCCACCGCCGCCACCGCCGCGCCAGTATCCTCAGCTCCTCCCAGTCCAAGCAGCGCCGCCTCCTCTTCCTGCTTCCCAGGTTGATGAGACTGTGAGCGAGCAACAAGTGAGTGAAGAGGACGAGGTGGTGGAGGAGTTGGAGACCACCTCGCAAACTGTGGAGGCGGAGGAGAGCAGCACCGCCACCACCGCCGCCACGTCCAGTGTTGCTGACGAAGAAGTCCCGGATCCTGGAAACCATGGAGGAGTCCAACAAGAACACCTCATGGAGAGCAGCGGATGAATAGTAGCAGTCTCGATTAGAATAACTTCAGCTATAGCAAGCATCAAGGAAAAGCTCTTGTTTATGGTAGTGAGTGATCTGAAACAACAAGAAGTATGGATTATTCCACCCACAAATGGCTGATCTTGTGTGATTCGATCCACGATCGACGTCGGCGGGTGAGCGTGACAAACATTTTTAGTGATTGATCGTGCCCTCACTCATTCATCCATGCGAACGAATGGGCGAACGGATGGACTTGTTTGAGCGTCCAGTCAGTCATGGTGGCCACTTCCCCAGAATTCTTTCCTCCCAAAAGAAATTCCTGACGCTTCCTTCCAACAGCACTTTTGTCGAACTACGTGGAATATCCCGCGCATCTCCCAGGAGCCGTAGCTCCGTTAAAATACTTAACCCCCGGTTGTCAACGTTAATTGGATCCGCGTTATTTTGTGTATTCTATGCTTGTTCTCATTTGTATTGTTTTCTCTTCTTTCCCAAGAGCGAGAAAGAAGAAGGCGATGGTATTTGGCCGCGGGCGGGGCCGTCGCAGCGAAGATCCGAGGGACGCGCGCCGCGCCACAGATTTGGAGCAGCTCCCGGATTCCAAGATCTCGCCGGTTTCTTAGCTAGCAGGAGAAATCTGGGGTTTAGCAGCGGCGCGCGCCGGGTGAGCTCTCGGGAGATTAGGAGCGCTGTAGGGCGTGGGGCGATGATCTCGCCACGGCGGCTCGGCCTGGAATGTAGGATCTAAGGCCCGGCAGCGGGAATTTCTCGATCCAGGGATGCGCTTTACATGATATTGTTGGCGATGGTGTCACATTCTCGTCCAAGAACAAGGCCCCAACAATGAAATGGACTTCGCTCCTCAACAAAGTTAACTTCTCGTCGAGGGATTCGCCTGGCTCGCAATCCGGCCGCAGGAGCGCCGCCGCCAATCTCGATGGCGATGCCAATTCCAAGCAACAGTGAGTTGTCCTCTTTTCTTCTTTGAATTCGCGTGAACAGTCGGCTCTCACTATCATTTCCTCTTCTTCTTTTTGTTTGTTCTTCGTAGCTATGAATCGGAGCAGGACTTCAAGAGATTCTGGGAGGAGTTTCGATGTGGACACTCGGACAAGGTGAGTGTGTCTCGTCTCACTCGTGAGGAACAAGCTTTTAAAAAATGTCGTGAGAGTGCAGGAGAAGCAAGAAGCCTTGGAGATGGCGCTAAGTGTTTTCTGTAAGCTCTCCCGGCGTCACCAAAATCCTGCGCAGCTTGCCACCTCGTACGTATTTACTGCTTGGATTTGGTCTGATCGTTTAAGAAAAAAATGCTCTCTTCTTTTTCTTGGGATTGCAGGCTAGTCGACACAAGGCAATTCGCCTTTGTGGTTGCTAGAGCTTTCATCGCTGACGTTGATAAGATAAAGTCATCCACTAGCCAAGATACACTCGCCAAATCTCTCATTCAAGGAAAGCAGGTACCTCCTACTGTTTCACCAATCGAAAGTTCGAAAGGTTGAAGTGTAGCATTTTTTTTCTAACGGAAATCTTCTCCCGTGTGAAGGAAGAAACAGCAAACATGCTCTACGTCCTCGAAAGCCTTGTCTCCCCCGTAAGTTTCTCATCTTTTACGCTGTCGTGAATGCATGAAATTTGTTCTCGTGGCAGCCACTTGACGTACAGCCGCTCCTCGATGCGGGCCTTCTTTCGTGCCTCGTGCACGTCTTGTACAGTTTCCTCGATTTGACTGACGATTTTGTAGACGCTCTGAGTGACGATGGGAAAAGACAAAAGCTCCAGGTAATGCTTTGGGTATCTCAACTTTCCTCACTGAATCTGTGCTGCAGGTCGAAGGAGAAGTTGTCCATATCTTGAAGGCGCTGGGGAGTCACCTTGGAGCCGCGCAGAGTCTAGCAGACGATGATTCTTTGCAAATGCTCTTTGCGATGGTCATTCAACGGCCTTCGTCTGTACATCTAGCACAACTTCACCGCCACGTGCTTCAGGTTTGACACTTTCTGCATAACAATCGCGACCTCTTCCATGTAAACTTGCTAGAATTGACGCAGATCCTTGGAAATGTTCTTTCGAGTGATGACGGAAGCTGCGCTCACTATATTCACCGGCATCAACTTGTAAGTTTGTACATGTCTTGAATGCATTCTAACGACTTGTCATTGCCGACCAGGTCAAAATGCTGTTACGGCCAGTGAAAGAGTTTACGTGTGAGAGCGGTGACGGAACACTCACTGTGGGAGTTGTGTCGCTTCTGCTTACCTGCGTCGAGGTTTCTTGTCGACCAGGTATGGCTAGCTTTTGCGTCCTTGGTGAATGTACGTCAATTAATCTTATCCAACAGGTGCTGGTGGGATCAACCTCAGGGAGGACTTGCAAAATGCTCATGGTTATCAGTTGCTGGTGCAGTTCGGGCTGTCTCTTGCTAGTCCTGCAACAGCGGATGCCAGTGCATCTTCAAGCCTTGGCAGGCTGTTAAGTCTGCAAGACTCTGGGGAAGAAACGAGCAGCGGGCAAGCAGACTTGTCGACGTCCTTCTTGGCTTTGCTCGACACTCTTATAGACCTCGCTCAAGTTGGACCAGTCGAAGAAAGTGAGCCCGGGGATTTAAACTACAACAAGGCAAAAGCGGTGGCTATCCAAAGCAGGTGCTTCCCGATTTTTGATGGAACCAGATTCAAGTCAAACGAATCTCTGACAGATGGGAAAGTGCGGGATCTGTTTGCGGTTCAAGTGCTACAGGATATCTTTCTCAAGTCTGGGAATCTGAATTCGCAGGTGGAAGTTCTTGACAGGCTGCTGAGGCTACTTGCAAGTCACATGGATAACTATCTGGTTGTTCAAGAGCTCAGGACTCTGTCACTTTTTATTCTCAACATGCCAGCTCTACCGCGTGTTCTTCAGGGACAGCTTTTGAAAGTGCTGGAGCATGTCGTGACGGTTGTGAATCAGGTCCCGGAGCAGGAGCTCCTTTCCCTGTGTTGCCTGCTGCAACAATCCTTGTCGCAGTCACTGAGAAGCAGCGTACTTTCTTTCCTCGTGAAAATTCTCTCGTTTGATCCTCAGTACAAGAAAGTGCTTCGCGAAGTCGGCGTGCTCGATCTCCTTGTTGAGGACTTGAAGACGGCTGCTAAGATATCGCAAAAGAAAGATGGTCAAGCAGTGCATATATTTGAAGATAAAGTGAGCTTGGCTCAAGGCTGGGATTGTCTACTGTCACTGCTGAAGAGGAACGAAGCCAACCAAACTGCCTTCCGAAAAGCGCATGGTTTCGACGCGCTTCAACCGTTACTCCTATCAGATATCCACAGAACTTACGTGCTGCGAGTATTAAGCTGTCTTATTTCTGAGGACACAGTTCAGGTTTGTTCTTTTATACAATCGTTAAGGAACTTACACTTTTAATGCAGTCGCATCCTGAAGAATTGAAGGCTCTACTCGGCACCACTAGAGCCGGCCAGGGACAAGGTATCAGTTTCAAGGCCAAGACGGATATCCTTTGGGCTGTCTTTCGAATACTCTGCTCGAATCCGGCGGCAAAGGACGTTTTCGGTGAGGGGAAGGGATTCACTCTCATGCACACTGTCCTCGAAAGTTTGGAAGACTTTTCCGGTGCGGAACCAAGGCAGAGGATGGAGATTGTCAATGCTTTGCTGCATGTGGTGACTGTGGGAGTAGCAGGCCACTCGGTAAATCGGATAAGACTGAACGACTGCGTGCTCAGTCATGCCTTCAGCGCTGCTTTACTTAAGACGGGACTCATTTGTGGCGATTACGAGGACCTTATTCTGGACTTATTTTTCGACATCTGCCTCGAGAAAGTTCAATCCCCCGCAAGAAATGTTGACAGCTTTCGTGCTGGGACGTGGGACAACGAGTTTATCTCGGTTGACGAGCGACGTGAGCTCTTCAATGCCGGGCTCGTTCAAGTAGCGCTTCAACTTTTCGACGACTTCTCTCCCAAGGCGCAGCTCAAGGTGGTCACGTCGGTCGAGGCATTATCCGAAGGAAGTCTAGTGAATAAAGATCGTCTCACTTTAGCAGGTATGCGAAATATCACTGGTGCTGGACTTCTTTCTCATTAAAGTTCCCAGGTTGTCTGAAAATGGTACTGGAGATTCTCACGCCGAGTGCAAGCTATTCGCCTGCGATATGGATGCACGGCATGCAGATAGTGAAGCTTCTCGGTTCCTATAGGTAAGAAAGCCAGAGCCTTGGGATTTTCTACTTTTTTTTTAACGTGTTTCTTTCTTGTCTTTCTATTCTTTTTACAGAATCTCTTCGTTTGAGCTACGGGCTTTGCTGCGATATATGTGGCAGTGCAGAGATTATACTTACGGTCAAGTTGCACAAAGGTACATTGAAGCGTTAGAAGGGGTGGTTCACAGTGAGGAGAGCTCGGCCGAAATCTCTCCTGCTGCACGCTTCATGGACTTCTCCTCACGACGAAATGGACATGCCTCCGTCCGAATTTCTCTAGGGGACAGGTCATGGCCACCAGCAGCAGGCTACTCATTTATGTGCTGGCTTCGATTCACTGGGATAGAGGGAAAAACCAAGGGTGGAAGAAGTCGACCTGCTCTTCGTATCTTCATGGTGGAGTCTGTGGAGGAGAAGGGGACAGTATTAGCGGAGCTTTACTTGAATGATTCGGGGCTCTTAACTCTGGCAACTGGTCCTAGTTCTCTCTTAGCTTTCAAAGGTGTCCGACTGGAAGAAGGCCTGTGGTACCATATAGTCATTGTGCATAACAAACCGAATGCACTCGCCGGTCTCTTCCAGTCGAGTGTGGCGAGCCTCTACGTAAACGGAAACCTGAGGCATACAGGAAAGCTTGGCTACTCGCCTTCCTCGTTTGGAAAGACTATTCAAGCAGTTATCGGGATTCCTCCACAGCTTTCAGACGTTTCTTCGTCAACATGGCAGATGACTGGTTGCTATCTGTTCGAAGAAGTTTTACCTTCGCAAGCCGTCTGTCTGGTTTATGCACTGGGGAGAGGATACCGAGGCCTCTTTCAGGATACCGACCTCTTGAGATTTGTGCCGTATGAAGCTTGCGGGGGAGGAAATCTAGCGGTGTTAGAGGGGCTGGAAACTGCTTCAGCTGGTGTAAACGTGCAAAAAGGTGGTGATGCTGCCAAGTATAGAATTGACGGAAGCGGGGCTGTCTGGGAGCTCGAAAGACTTGTCTCGTTCTGGATCCAACTTTCCAACAAGAAACTTATATTCTCTTTTGATGGAACTCCCGGACAAACGCAAACTGCCGGCCAACAATCTATTGTGAACTTGGTGGAGCCGCTGTCAGCCGCAGCTTCTCCGCTTGGAGGTGAGTATTTTTATATTCTGCGAAAGCTATCGTTAATGCAGACATCTCTTTACAGGCCTTCCTCGAATCGGCCGGTTGGTCGGGGATGTTGAGATACTAAATCCCTGCAGCTTTGGGGACAGTATGAGAAAGGTTGGGGGCATGGCTGTCGTGCTTGCTTTAGTCGAGGCTGCAGAAACTGGCGAGATGCTGCACTTGGCTTTATCACTTTTGGTCCGCGTGCTATATTACAATCCTAGGAACACTTACGACATGCTCGCGTGCCGAGGATACCACTTACTGGTGCTGTTTCTGCACAGGAGGATCCGTCTGTTTGAGGTACAGGATCTGGAGCTTCTATTCCAGATTGCTGCGTGCGAAGCCTCTTTTTATGCGCCACCGCAAAGTTCTCATTTTGCGACCAACACTGCCTCGTCTGGACAGCACCCTCTGATTGACATGCATGGTGCGAACAACAACAACAACGTCAATGGTCCTCCTGCTGACGACCAAGTGTCTTCAGGCGGCTCGGTGTTCGATGCAACAGATATTGGCCCTGAAGATATTGCAAACGGCATGTCAGAGTTTGGAAGTGCTGCAACACCCGAAGAATCTCTCAACTGCGTGGTGCTATCAAATCCGGATATGATGGAGCATGTCCTCATGGACTGGACCCTCTGGAGCAGGGCTTCCGTTCCGATTCAGCTTTCGCTGCTCGGGTTCATAGAAAGGCTGGTGGCAGTGCATCGGTACAGGAATCACAACCTGGCAACTCTACGTCGGCTGAATATCGTCCAACATCTCCTGGTTACGTTGCAACGAGGAGATATAGAGGTGCCTGTGATAGAGAAGCTGGTTGTGCTACTCGGCATTCTCCTCGAAGATGGTTTTCTGCCTTCGGAGCTCAAGTACGTGGCCGACTTCGTCGTCATGAGCTTCAATCCGCCAGAGGTTGTTCGCGACTCTCCGATATCTCGGGAGGCCATGGGGCTGCAGGTCATCGTTAGAAACGTTCTTCTGGAAATGCTGATCGACCTGCAGATGACTATCAATGCCGAAGACGTCTTGGAGACCTGGCACAAGACAGTCTCTTCGAGAATCATAACTTTTGTGCTGGACGAGGCGGCACACCCGACCACAATGCGGTGGATAATGACCCTGCTTGGAGTTTGCATATCTTCGTCGCCAACTTTCTCCACAAAGTTCCGTGCCAGTGGCGGATATCAAGCCATTTCCCACGTACTTTCCAGCTTCTACGATGCCCCGGAGATATACTACATCCTCTTCTGCCTCATGTTCGGGAAACCAGTTTATCCTCGTCAACCGGAGGTCCGGCTGCTGGACTTTCACGCCTTGATGCCCGGGGAAGCTATCGAGGGAGAAATTCTCTTCACGGAATTCCTCGACTCCATTCTACTCATGTTCAAGGCAGCGTTTGACAAGATGAGCCTTCAGTCACAAATAGTGCAGCAGACAGGAGATTTTTCGCAGTTTCCGGAGTCTCTGGCAGCTGGCTTTGCGAATGGATTCAAGGATATTGGAGGTGATCTTCAGAGTGAAGCTCTCCTGCACAAGACATATGCTGCACGGCTCATGGGTGGCGAGGCTGCAGCGCCATCTCTCGTGACTTCGCTGTTGAGGTTTATGGTGGATCTGGCCAAAATGCATCGTCCTTTCTCGACAGCTTGCAGGCGTCTCGATTTTCTCGAAGGAAGCGTGGAACTTTATTTTTCCTGTGCGAGGTACGATTGCTTTGAGGACTTGCAATCGTTTATTGTTGTTTCTGCAGGTCTGCGGCAGCTATCGAGGCTGCCCAAGGAATCTCTGCCGAGGCAAACAACCAGTCGAGCTATAAGTTCTCGGACGACTTCCAAGTTATTAACCAGAAAGTTGGAGCCAAGGCCGACGCAGAGGAACCAGCAGCTCAGGAAGTAGAGCTCTTGGCTGTTCCAACCAAGTCTTCTCCAATCGACATAATGAGGCCGTTCCAAGCTGACGAGTCTATAGACAATTTCTTCGTCTTTCCATCCACGTACGCGGAAAACACCACCAACGGCGACGACACTCACTCTCAGCGTTCTTCGTCATTCTCCAACGCTTTCACCGAGTCGTCAACTTCCGCATTCGTGACGCTTCCACTGTCTCCGACAACGTCAGACAACTCGAGAAACGAGGCTGGAACTCCTTTGCCATCGCGAACGCCTGGCAACAATTTGGCGTCGTGGGTGAAAAGCACGTTTCCTAGCGACACTCCCGCTCCTTCCCGCTCTGCCAGCAGCATACCATCGAGAACGACGTCCATTGTAAGCGCTTCAACACATGGTCCTGCCAGTGACTCGGATCGATCATCGATTCAGGACGACAAGCAAGCTTTTCCGATCACCAAGAAGCTCCTGTTGCAGCTGGAATCTGCCGGTTCCGGGGGTGGACCTTGCTCCTCCGGTGCTACAGCCGTCTTGGACCTTGTGGCTGAGGTGCTAGCCGACGCTCTAGCTGATCAGCTGAAAGCCACGCCACTGGTGGAAGCAACTCTGGAAGCTGTGCCTCTTCATATTGGTGGCGATATCGCTGTGGTGTTTCAAGGACTCTGCCTCTACCGGGTCATGAACTTCCTCGAACGTCGTCTCCAACGTGATGACGAGGAAGCACACAAGAAGCTGGACAGAGCTCGCTGGTCATCAAATCTGGATGCATTCAGCTCGCTCGTGGTGGATCGTGTCTACATGGGAGCATTTTCGGATTCGGCAGGGGTGTTGAAGGTGCTCGAGTTCTTGCTATCGATGCTGCAGCTGGCCAACAAGCACGGCCGGGTGGAGGAAGCAATGACAACCGGCAGGAGCTTGTTATCTCTTGCTCGTGGTGGCTTCAAGCAGCTCGAGCCTTTCGTCCAGTCCCTGCTACGTAACACCAACCGGATGCTTCTGTTCTGCTTTCTCCCGTCGCCCACCACAAACGAGGAACTAACGTCGAGTAACACTGGCCTGCTAGCGAAAGGAGGACTGGACATCACTTTGGTCCTGCAGCTCCTTATATCCCACAAGAAGCTGGTCTTGTGTCCCGGCAACGTCGACTCGGAGTTCCTGCAATGCCTCCTCGTCAACATCGTGCCTCTGCTTCAAGATCCACGGCAGGCTGTTCGGACTCTCGCCGTGGATGCATGCAAAGTCTTGCTACACTACCGCAAAGAGGCACTGGAGGACATTCTCGTGCTCAGGCACGCTTCTGGCGAGGCGCTGGACGTTTTCCACGGAGGTTTCGACAAGCTCCTGGCATCCAACTCGATCGGCTTCTATACGTGGTTTGATGACGCTCACGATGCCATTGGACGGGTGCTGGAGCAACGTGCCTCGCTTGCATGGATGCAGTTTATAGGTGGCGCGGCTCGATTCAACTCTTCACGTCTCAAAAACTTCGAGGTGAGGCGGAAGAGAGAGATGGGGAGGAGGATGAAAGACGCTAGCAAGGCGGACGGCCGCCACTGGGAACAGATGCTGGAGCGCAGAGTTGCTCTCGACATGGTGAGAGACTCTCTATCGGCGGAGCTCCGGTTGATGAGACAGGTGAAATACGGTTGGGTGATACACGCCGAGAATGAGTGGCAGGATCATATCCAACAGCTCATGCACGAGCGCGGGCTGTGGCCCGTTGTCAAGCCTGTAGCTGAGAGTGACAACGAGTGGCAACTCTGCTCTACCGAGGGCCCGTATCGCATGCGGAAGAAGCTCGTACGTTGCAAGCCGAAGATTGACATTGCTGCTCACCCACCTGAAGAAGCTGAAGCGGAAGTACTTCCCAATGGTCAGGCCGGGTTCGCTGTGGACATAGAGAATCCGGACTACGACTCCTTCTTCCACATCTTTTCCTTGGGCATCGACAGTCCTAAGAAGAATGCTGCCAAGGACTACCTCGAGTCCTTTGACGAAGAGGACACCGAGTCCAAAGGACGGGAAGACGATGCAAATTCCTTGTCGACCAGAGGTGACGGGACCATCGAACGCAGCAGAAGCGCCATCAACGACAGCGGGAAGAGCCCGGAATCAATCCAGAGAAGTAAGTCGGACGCTCATGGGACTGCTCCGGGCTCTTCGCCAACTAAAGCCGGCGACTTTCAGCTGGACGACGCAGACGACCAAGACTTCCAGGACGACGGAGAGTATTTGATAGCTCCCTACCTGGAGCGTGGCGAGAAGATCAGGTTCCGTTACAACTGCGAGCGTGTTGCGGGGCTGGATAAGCATGATGGAATCTTTCTCATTGGGGAGAGGTGTTTGTACATCATCGAGAACTACTTCATCGACAGTGCCGGCCGGATATGTGAGAAAGGTGGTGAGGGCGAGCTTTCGGTAATCGATCAAGCACTGGGAGTGAAGACAAGCATCTCGGTCGTCTTCGAGTCTACGCAGACCGCGACTTGGTCGGACACCGAGAACACATGGCCGGGAGGGAAGGCTTGGGCTTGCAGTGGAGGTGCTTGGGGGAAGGAAAAACTCTCGTCGGGACGACAAATGCCACACTCGTGGCGGATGTGGAAACTCGACAGTGTGCACGAGCTTCTCAAGCGTTGGTATCAGCTACGACCCGTTGCTATCGAGCTGTTCAGCATGGATGGCTGCAATGATCTCTTGGTGTTCCACAAGGAAGAGCGAGATGAGGTGTTTAAGAACCTTTTGTCCATCAACTTACCTCGTAGCAGCAGGTACATGAGTTTTGACTCCTCCTTTCGCTAGCTAATTGCTTTTGTCATTGTGACAAACAGGCTTGAAACGGCAATCTCTGGAGTGTCCAAGCTAGACAGCAATGAAGGAGGTCGGCTTTTCAAGACAATGGCCAAGTCCTTTAGCAAACGCTGGCAGAATGGCGAGATAAGCAACTTTCAGTACCTCATGCACTTGAATACGCTAGCTGGTCGGGGTTACAACGATCTCACGCAGTATCCAGTCTTTCCATGGGTGCTTGCTGACTATGAAAGCGAGGAGCTGAACCTCTCTAATCCGACTGTTTATCGTCGTCTTGACAAGCCAATGGGAGCACTATCTCTGGAACGTGAGGATGTGTTCCGAAAGAGGTACATTGTGTACTATACTCATTGCATTTGTGCTTACGAATTTTCTTTCGATCAGGTACGATAATTGGGATGATCCGGAAATACCGAAGTTTCACTATGGTTCTCACTACTCAAGCGCTGGTACTGTTTTGTTTTATCTAATCCGTTTGCCTCCGTTCAGCCAAGAGAACCTCAAGCTCCAAGGTGGTCAGTTCGACCACGCAGATCGACTCTTTACAAACATTCGCGATACTTGGCTGAGTGCCAGCCAAGGAAACACGGCGGATGTGAAAGAGTTGGTCCCGGAGTTTTTCTACTTGCCTGAGTTTTTGGAGAATAAGTTCGACCTGGATCTAGGCACCAAACAGTCTGGAGAAAAAGTACGCGTTTCTCTTGCACCTTCTGACATTTCTAATAAGCAATTGAGCAGGTTGACGACGTTGTCCTTCCACCCTGGGCCAAAGGAAGTGCACGCGAGTTTATTCGCAAGCATCGTGAGGCTCTGGAATCTCAGTACGTTTCAGAGAACTTACATCATTGGATAGATCTCATTTTTGGATATCGGCAAAGAGGACAGGTATGAGAGTTACGAGTCTTTGTTTATGCGGCTGATTTCTCGAAATGCAGGCTGCTGTGGACGCCACCAACGTGTTTTACTACCTGACGTACGAGGGAGCTGTAGATATAGACTCAGTCCGGGATCCGGCCCTGAAGGCTTCGACACTGGCTCAGATCAACCATTTCGGACAAACACCCCGTCAACTCTTCCTCAAGCCTCATCCGGGCAGAAAGTGCCAGCAGAAAGTTCCGTTTGGCCACGTTCTGCGAAGCTCTCAACTTCTGGCCCCGCAGGAGATCCGCAACGCAACAACCTCCATCGCCCAGATCGTTGTGTCTCACGACAAAGTCTTCTCGGTTGGTCACAACAGGTTGCTCAAGCCGCGATCATACAGCAAGTATATCGCGTGGGGCTTCCCGGACAACAGCTTGCGCTTTGTTTCATACGACCAGGACAGGCTCCTGTCAACTCACGAGGGACTTCACGACGGCACCATTGTGTGCGCCGGCTTCAGCAGGGACGGACGCACTCTCGTGACAGGAGGAGAAGATGGCGTCGCTTCCGTGTGGCGTCTCCGAAAGGATGGTGTTCGTAACCAACGCAGGCTTCACCTCCAGAGAGCTCTCTGTGCTCACAGCGACAGTGTCACTTGCCTGTCCGTCTGCCAACCTTACAACCTGGTGGTGACCGGCTCCAGCGACTGCACAGTCATCTTCTGGGATCTCAGCACCCTAGAGTTCGTGAGGCAGCTCCCACAGCTTCCAGCACCAGCGTCAGCGGTTCATACAAACGAGATGACCGGGGAGATTGTCACAGCAGCAGGGACGATGCTGGTGGTGTGGAGTGTCAATGGCGACTGCCTAGCAGCTCTCAACGTCTCTCGCCTCGCTTCCGAGGCCATCGTTTCCATCACAAGCCCGGTGCTGTCCGACTGGATGGAAACCGGGTGGTACGTGACCGGCCACCAGAACGGTGCCATCAAGCTGTGGAGGATCGACTACGCGAGCTTTGCACAAGGGCCTTCCCGGCGGTCGAGAGGAGTACCACCTCCCAGGAATGTGTGCTTCACGGGTGGAACACCCGAGTATCACCTCGTACTCCACAAGGTGCTCAAGTCTCACACGCAGCCAGTGACGGCCTTGCATCTCTCGCCCGACCTCAAGCAGCTCTACAGCGGCGACGCCGGCGGGCACGTCACCTCCTGGGTGCTCTCAACTCTCGATGGCTCCAGTGTCCAGGTAAAGCTTTCATATCAATATGCTGATTCTTTCCAGGTTTCTCAAGCTCCAGCTCTTTTTCTTGTGTGCAGCCCGAGACATGCCCGTGGTGCCAGGATGTCTTGGACGTAGCGCAGCTCAAGCGCTACTGCCGAAACTGTGGCAAGTTTTCGTGCCAGAGATGTGGTGAGAGCGCCCCCGTTGTGGAGCTGGGATATGTGGATCCCGTCCCGATCTGCTGGAGCTGCTCGCAACACGTCGAGGAAAGAGCTTTGTCTAGTAGTAGCTAACTTAAGTTGAGTCTACAAAGAGGGGAGTCGACTCTCTCGCAATTTTTTTTGTACAATGTCAATAAGAAATCACTCGCTAGGCGTGGACAACATCCTCCAACTTGGCGGCTCTCCTCAATTCGTCCTTGCAGGGAGCATGAACTTGTTGCTAGATTTCCAAGGTCGATTCCTACACGATTCGTACCTTGGACTTCTGATTTGTAAGCTTGACACCTCAACCAAATGGTCTAGGGCTTTTTAGTGAACCGGCGAACAAGAAATAGTGGTATTTATTGCAAAAAAACTTTTTAGTTTGCTTAAGCAAACCTATAGGGGGACTGGGATGGTAGTGGATATACCTAGAATATACTTGGATATTCTAGGATATTCTACCATCTAACGGTTGTTATTCATTTAGATTAATCTTGTATTTATAATTTATAAACATGTTTATAATTTATAAACTTCCTTAAACCTTTTCTAGTATATTCTTTTTTATTCTACCATCTTGATATGCAATAAAATTAATCTTGTATATATAAATTACAAACATGCTTATAATTATAAACTTTATTTGATCAATTGGATTAATATGTCATAATAACACTAGTATTAAGCAAACCAAGCGTTGCTACATATAGTTTTATTGCGAAAAAACTTTTTGGTTTGCTTAAGCAAACCTATAGGGGGACTGGGATGGTAGTGGATATACCTAGAATATACTTGGATATTCTAGGATATTCTACCATCTAACGGTTGTTATTCATTTAGATTAATCTTGTATTTATAATTTATAAACATGTTTATAATTTATAAACTTCCTTAAACCTTTTCTAGTATATTCTTTATCGGCAAACAAGAAATAGTGGTATTTATTGCGAAAAACCTTTTTTAGTAAAGTCCTTGTTGATTGGACTCTTCCTCGAACCCGGGTCTTCTACTTCCAGTCCACCTCCACACTTACCTGATAACCAATTCCCCAGCAACCAGGTTCGCAGTATTTTACTATCAGACCATGTACTTAACTTATACACGGAATCCAGAGAGCGCGAAGGGATTCTTAAACTCGAGTGAGGGATCTGGATAAATCCACGCCTCATGCACCTCTCGGCTGCAAGCAAAGCCCTGAAAGAGCACCGTCCAGGCCTCGAGATAGTTAAGATTAGCTCCAGAGTGGATTCTCATGCCCTGCTCCATGATCATCTTCCCACCGACAACTAGAGCCGAGCAAGCCTTGATCGAGGTGGCTGTCCATCCATGAGAAGGCTTCCAGAGCACGAGATTGTTCGCCATTCTCAGCGTGGACCCACACTACATTGTTTCATCGCATCCTGTCAAACACCCTCCTCGCCTCAATAAGGCTGCCAACCAAGTTGCAAGAACGTAGAGATTTGGAGCAAACCCCGCTCTGGATGGCGCGATCGTGAAGCATCCTTGCCTTCTCAAAATCCTTGGAGCTCCCGCGGGAATTCAACCAGCTCCGTTGTGACCCTGGTATTGCAAGGTTCCAGGAGGCCATTGCTAAAGAACCCTAATACTCAGAAACGGCTAGGTTTCTAAGAGGTTACAAATTTTTTTTAGTAAAGTCACCGTGTCCACGAGCCATGGAAGTTAATTCAAGCTCAAATGCGTATACAAAACATTGGCCCTTCATAAGATTTGGACCACTTTCCGACGACAAACAGACTCCTAGACAATTCGACCCTTGGTTGTATGGTTTTCAATTTGATATGGGGTTCGCATATACCCCGTGCCCTCGACGAGATTAATCAATACAACCTGTGCGTGGACCTCCTTGGCGCGGGCCAGCTCGAAGCTTTTGCCGAGTCGAGTTCCATCACTCGCTCGATAGTCCGAGAAGCAAAATCTGTGCAGTCCATTCCCAACACCCAGGGCAAACGCCATCATCTTGGCGAGCTCCTCGGCCTCCCGGAGCCACCCAGCTCGTTCCAGAGCATCAATCACGTAGAGAAAGTGCTCTGCCCGGGGAGAAATACCGCGCTCTTGCTCCAGCCACGCAAAGTAAATCATGATCTCGTCGATTCCGTGAGCACAGGCCTTGAAGAATGCGAGGAAAGTCACGTCCCTTGGCTCCAGTCCTTCTCTCTCCATTTCTCGAATTCGAAAGAGCTCCAGAGCTGTTTGCCGTGCCGTCGTGTTCTTCCATTTGGTCCAAGAACTCGCGAGCTTGACCACCCTGACCGAAGATCTCGATCGTCGAAGTCCACTAGAGCCAGAGAACCAGCCAAGACAGTTACTCTTTTTTAGAGTTGAGCATGAGAAGGTATTCGACACCAGGGGCATCTTCCCTGACCCTTGCAAGCACTAGGTGTTGCGTGCCACCTTCAGCTCCAAGCTGCATTTCTGTTTCATGGCCTTCGAGGACCTGAGCAGCCGGAGCTTCTGGCCAGGCACCGCGACCATGTCACCACCACTCTGGCAGTTTGTCTCGGCAACCCCTCTAATGAGCGCTGGCGCGGGTGGGCGATCGCGTGTGAATCGTCGGCAGAGAAGACCAAGTTCTTCCCCAAGGCTGCATCCCACGAGACTACCAGCTCAGGTCTCCTCATCAGGGGCCGATCCTGTTCTTCCTTCTCGTAGGGAGCATGGACCTGGGTGTAGCGACCAAAGAGCGGATTGCCTGCACATGGCAGCAGTCCACGAGCACCTCGACAGTGGCGCAGCAAATCTGATCGATCCGACGAAGCTACAAATTTGGCTGATCCATGCGTCCCTCAAGCTTGTCTTGTTTAGCAGCGTTGTCCGGACCGAGGGCCAGGCAAGGCGCTGCGCTCTCGAAGGACTTTGCCTGTGCTCGGACGAGGAGTGAGCGCCCGAGAAAAAGACTTTTTGCGAATGAAAACGTTAACTCCTTTTTTGTAGAATGTAGAGACGAGCGCTCTTGATGCTGGGTGAGTGAGGGTGGTGTCGAGAGCTCACGAAATCGATGGAAGGAGTGATCAAGGTATGCATTCGCTCCGGCAACAAAATGGGCTGCTCCAGGTGGAGAGGATCGCTGCTGCCTGGAGCACTGGGGAGAGGGTCAGATTGACAAGAGTCAGGAGAGCCGAGCTGGTTGCTGCGATCAAGCAGTGCGGCCAAGCCAGGGATTTGGAAAGAGGGAAGAGGGTCCATTGCGCTGCGGTGGCCGCTGGTTTCCACACCAACAAGTTTGTGGCGTCGGTGCTCATCACAATGTACGGCAGATGCCGCAGCGTGGCACTTGCAAGGGAGGTGTTTGACGCGATGATTCATCGCGATCTTGTTGCCTGGAACTCCATCATCCTGGCTTATGTGGACAATGGCAATTTCTCCTCGGCTTTGAGCCTGTTCGCGAGCATGGACTTTGAAGCCGACGCATTTACTTATGTCGCAGCGCTCAAGGCTTGTGCGGGATTAGCAAGAGAAGTCCATCTCCGCGAGAGTTTGCTCAAGAGAGGCATTGCCATTCACGAGCGAGTGAAGCAGCGAGGCCTCCAATCGAACGTTCTCGTGGCCAACACTCTGTTGGACATGTATTGCAAGTGTGGGAGCTTACGGGGAGCGATGCAAGTTTTCGAGGAGCTTGTTCATCGCAGAAACGTTGTGACTTGGACGTGTTTGATCCTGGGGCACGTCGAGAGTGGCGAGAGCTTGGCAGCTCTGGATTTGTTCGAGAGCATGGATTGCCAGCCCGACTCTTTCACCTATGTTGCAGCACTCAAGGCGATCGTCCGGTTGGCCAGCCAAAGCGATCGAGTCAAGTTTTGCTTGGAAAAAGGGATCGAAATTCACAAACATATCAAGCAGCAGGGATTTGAGTCAGACAGCGTCGTGGCGAGCGCTGTCATGGACATGTACTCCAAATGCCGGAGCTGGGGAAGTGCTCTCGAGTTGTTCTTCGAGAGAATGACGATGAGATGCTATGAGCCTGATAGTTTTACGTGCATTGCGGCGCTCAAAGCTTGCGGTGGCCTTGCCAGTATGGGAAGTGAAGGCTCAGAGAAGCTAGTGCTCTTGAACAAAGGAATCGCCATCCACAAGCAAGCCGTGGAGCATGGATTCGCTTCAAGCTTAAAGGTGGCGAGCACCCTGGTTTACATGTATAGCAAATGCGGAAACATGAGGCTTGCAAGGGAGGTTTTTGACGGGATGGTTTCCAGAGATGTCCAGAGCTGGACGTGTATCATCCTGGGTTATGTCGAGAATGGAGACTTCTCCACGGGGATAGAGTTGTTCGTGGGAATGGAGTGTGACGCTGATGCGTTTGCGTATGCTGCCGGTCTCAAGGCTTACACTGGTTTAGCAAGGGAGAGAGAGTCGGAGAGGCAACTATGTCTCCGAGAGGGCATAGAGATCCACAGGCAAGTTAGAGAGCGTGGTTTTGATTCGGACGTGGTTGTGGTGACTTCTCTCATGGATCTGTATTCCAAGTGCGGGAGTTTGGAGCGAGCTATGGAATTGTTCTCAAGCATCAAGTGTGAGCCGGACGCTCTCGTCTTTGCTGCGGCGCTCAATGTTTGCGGAGCCTTGGCAGATCTCGAGAGAGGGATTGAGATTCACAAGAAACTCCGTGACCACCACCATTCAGCTGTGAGATGGGAATCGGACTTAAACGTAGGAAACTCTCTGATAGACATGTACATGAAGTGTGGGAGCCCGGAGCATGCTAGAAGGGTGTTTGAGGCGATGATCCACAAAAATGCTGGGACCTCGAGCCTACTTATCCAAGGTTATGTGAGGAATGGCGAAAACTCGGCAGCTATAGACTTGTTTATGGAGATGAATTGTGAGGCCGACGCTTTTGCTTGTGTCTCGGTACTCAAAGCTTGCGGAGCTTTAGCCAGCGAGAAAGGATTAAGCTTTCCGGGAAACAATTGTCTCCTCGAAAGAGGGATTGCGATCCACAAGAGAGTGAGAGACCTCGGGTATGAAGCAAAGTTGGCTGTAGCGAGTACTCTTGTGGACCTATATTGCAAGTGTGGAAGCATGATCCTAGCGAGGGAAGTGTTTGACAGGATGATCCAGCGTGACATTGTCACCTGGAACGCTCTCCTTCTTGGCTACGTGGGTAATGGCGAGCCTGGCATTGCTCTCGACTTGTTCTTACTTGGAGGATTGGACTGTGAAGCCGACGCCTTCACCCATGTTGCTCTGCTC